ATGAAGGAGAATGGTGAAATGGTGTCATTGATAAAGATGTATTCACAAACTAACATGTTGAAACTCCTTTACACCACTATTTAATGAAAAGAAGGAAATAACATTATGTGTATTGTATTGCGTTTATTTTACTTTGAAAGTCAATTTTCTTATCCTAAAATGTAAAAGTAAAATAAGAGCACATTCATTTTGATTTGTTTTTTGTGTTGTTATATCTATACATCTATCCATCCATCTATCCACCCATCCATCTATTCTACATTTCTATATTTGACAAAAGAAAACATGAAGAAAAATCTACTTTCCTTAAACTGGGCACAACGATGCATTCACATTGAAGAACTAAGTACATTCTTTGAAAATTAATTTGAGCATGGTAAAACAGATTAAAACCACTTCTTTCTACTTGAGGCTTTATTAACATCAAACCTTAAAGCTCTTATCTGCACTGCAGTTCTTCCCACCTCCAATTACTTGCTGAATCAAATATTTTTTGCTAAAATAATAGACAATACATTCTAGTGCTATGCATTTGAAAATCTTTAGCTAACAGTAACAAAAATCAGGAATAGGAAAGAATTAACTCTAGCAAAGAGGAGAGACAAAATAACATTTGAACTAATAAAATAAATTCTCTAAAGCCCAATGTCATCTCTAAAGGAATTATAACACTCACAAAGGCACAAATTATTTGGAATTGTTTTTCTTTTATAAAAAGTTCAAATATTTTAATTGTGAAAGAAAATCTTATTTTTTAAGTTGAGATTATTGCAATAGGAACAACTCCAAATAAAATAACACAAAACTATATGAAATATAATATTCTGCTTGATTTTCCTATTGAAAATGATACAATAAAGTATTCAGCTTTTAGTAAGTGACACAGTAAAGCAACAGGATTCCTTTTATTTAGCTCTTAGGTTCTTTCTCACAATATATTTTTTTGTCTATTTTCTTTTAGCAGTCTTTGAAAATATTAAATACTAAAATGATTATTTAATATTTGAAGGCTGCATGAAATAATTACTCACATAGATGTCAACATCTGTCATCAGTAAAGAAAGATAAGTGAATACCAGAAAACTGGCACTTGAAAGGTATGTACGGGGGTATACTAAGGAAGAGAGGAAGGAGGAAGAAAATATAATCATAATATTCAATGCATACCCTATAAAATTAAGAAAATTAAGAGGATGACTGGGGTTGTCAGGGATGGGAGGAATGATGAAAGGGTTGACATCAATCAAAATGCATTTTTCTATTAAACCTAGTAGTTAAATGCTAACACCTTTGTACACTTACTTAGATAATAAAAATACAATTAAAAAAGGAAGACATATGCATTGAATTATGTGAAGCCTTGTCGGTCATGAAGCTTTCAAATAAACGAAGAGAAGAAGTTCACTAAGACAACACTGGCCATAATTCAACATTTTTAACTTATTTCAGGGTAATACTCATATGAATAATATAAACTACTGACTGACAGGGCAGCCTCTAAATAAAGGTTTTTGTTGGTGTTGCTGCTTTGTTTCTGTGTTTTTGTCTTCTTTCTTATTTCAAATACTGCCTTCATTAGTAAATACTGCTTAATATTATTTAAAAAAAACACTCAAGCATAGTGCTGGTGGTTCACCCCTGCAATCCTACCTATTCAGAAGGCTGACATCTGAGGATATGGTTCAAAGCCATCCCAGGCAGGAAAGACAGTGAGACTCTTATCTCCAATTAACTAATAAAAAGCTGGAAATGGAGCTGGAGGTCAAGTGGTAGAGTGGTAGCCTTGAACAAAAATGCTCAGTGACAGCAACCAGGCCCTGAGTTCAAGATTTATGACTGGTGTGCACACACACATGTACACCTGCACACACACCAGACACAGACCCCTACAGACACACACACAAACACATACACAGTACTCAAATCTCTTAGGTATGAGTAGGACAATACTGTAAATATTAAAGTTAAATTAAATTGAAAGTATGTTTTAAGTACTGAGCAATGTACAATGAATTGTGAGTTGGTCAATCAGTGGGTATGAAATATTTTAATTTTTTTCCTCATTGTTTTCATATTTTAACTGAAGTTATTGTTTTTGGTGGTGGGTTTTGGGTTTTTTGTCTTTCTTTCTTTCTTTTTGACCAGTAGTGGGATTTAAACTCAAGACCACACATGTAGATTGTTAGAATGGGAGGTCTTATAGCAAGACCAAGAATTAAGCTAAAATTTGCTATACAGGCTAGCAAATATCCTTGAGCTCTACATTGTCATATGTTTAGACATTTCAGGTTAAATAGCTAATTCTGGGATGCAATTTCACTGTTCATGGTAAGGAGCAAGAGCTCATTGAGTTCTAATCCTCCTCTCTGAATGTCATTAGGTAGACAGAGAGCATAGATAAATAAGAGACTATAAGAGAGATACTATAGATAATAGATGTTGAAAAGAAATAACCAGATAGATAGATGGGGAGACAGATATGGTGAGAGATGTATATTTCATGTAGGTGTGTGTGTGTGTGTGTGTGTGTGTGTGTGTGTGTGTGTGTGTGTGTCTAGAGAGAGATAAGAGAGAGAGGATAAAGAAAAAGAGACAGAAAATCAGAAACAGAGAAACACAGAGAGCTCTTCTAACCCTATTTGTCATGTAAGATTAAATATTTAAAGGCAGGATTCATTTCATTTTTGACATTCTTAAAAATTTCTACTGTACCTTCTATACTCAATATTTGTTGATGTAATAAATGAGTATAGAAGGTAAAGTAGAATGAGTAAATTAAGTTTGTAAGTTAAGGAAACATTATAACTAACTTTAAAAATTATGTTTTAAATTAGAAATCAGTTTTTCTCTTAGCTAATGCATATATGACCTATGTGTAACCTTCAGATTAATAATTATCCCTTGTATTTATTAGTAGGAAAATATCAAAACTCTTTCTGAGACATTTCTATTGGCATTCTCATTGTTAATATTAGTAATTATTTCATAGGTAATATTTTTGGGGGGGTCCAGACTTGTGGCCTGAACTCTGGGCCTGGGCACTGTCCCCCAGATCTTCAGCTCAAGGCTAGAGCCACAGTGCCACTTCGGGCTTATTTGCTGCTTATGTGGAACTGAGGAATCAAACCCAGGGCCTCATGCATGCAAGGCAAGCACTCTACCACTGACCCACCCTCCCAGCCCTTCATAGGTAATATTAACTAAAGTATATGTCAATTTTAGTTTTCCCATAAAAATAAAAATTATATTCTTAAGATGTTAATTTTTGATGTAAAACTGATAAAATAGCTTTTTATTGTAACTTACATTTAGAGAAATAATAAAGGTGACATCTCTTTTTCATTAAATATATGCCAATAAAATACATGGATTAGTTTTCACAGATGATAAGGAATCAGTGTTAATGTGAACAGTAAGTTTTTAGGCTTTTTTGAACTGATTCTCTTATTATCTAAATTCCAGTGATGTGATAATATTGGTAAACTATTTACCCTTGATGAATAGTAGCATTATAATACTATTATGAATACTACTTAATGAATCACTTTATAAATCATGCTCAACTTCATAATGTATATTCATATATCAATACCCAACAACTATCATCTAATATGTGCCTAATTTTTTATATTATAAACACACAAAGTCACCAGCCATCATCATCATATAACTCCTTTCATATAAGAATGCCAGAGTTGATAGGAATTGTGTATATTAGACAAATATTCTAATTGGTTGCAGTAAAAATAAAATTTCAGATAGTATTATAGCATTTCTTAGAAGATTGTATGGCAAAAGATTACAAAAGAAGTCAATAGTCTAAATATGTATTATTTAAATAAGCTTTTATAGGATTCATTCTAAAAATAAATCCAGCAAAATTAAACTTAGTACATACATATTAATATATGCACAAATACTCAATGTGTCATTTATTACTGTTTTGAATATATGTAAGTAAATATATGAAACATATTAATATATTTGTATTGAAATTATGATGTGATTAGAAAATTAAAAATTCTATACACAATGCTTTATCCATGGGACTACAGATTGCATTCTTAATAGAAATTTGAATTGTAGGATTCATCAATCAATACTTGACCTACAAGCCATGGTCACAGTATTTAAATGTAGTTTCTAATTTTAAAAAAATAATATTAAATATATATTCTATTAATATTTTGAAGTCTATCAGGTAATCTAACTTGTAACTCTCACATCTGATTTGCAACAAATGTTTTCACTGTTTACAATAGAATATTAAAAAAACTATTCATAGCTTGTCTTATATTTAAGAGCATCTTAATTACCTTGAAAGAATAATTCCCAAATAGTTTCATGGTGCTGGAAACATCAAATGCATTATAAAAAAATACAATATAGCAATAAGTTCTCAGAAAAAAACAATGTCATTATTTCATTATGTCTATCAGTATAAGTTTATATTCATCTGGTATCTACATCTTTAATTTAAATATGTGTAAATTAAAACAAAAAGCCAAAAGTGTGGCCAAGCTATTATTAGACTTTTGAAAAGCCATTTGAAGGTAACAAAAGATGAATTGACATTGGCAATAAATATAAAATAATCCCAATCAAGTTTCCATTTTATATAAAAATTGAGTTCACTAATATAATATAAACTAGCAAATCACAATGTCCAAATCTAGCTAATACATGCCAATATTTCCCTGTCAGTAAAGTCTAAAATAAGAATGGTTAGGAAATAGCCACAAAAGAAGCAGTCTAGTTACTGTAGTCAACTTCTTCTTTAAAGAAGATTGAAGGCTGCTCTCTCTTGGCTTTCCTGTTTTCAGTTGTGATCATGATATTTAATAATTACTTTTTATCTAGGGTAGTTGTGGGATTTTTCAGGTTCCTTGCTGAATTATCAATGTTCAGATCCACCGTGATAGACTTCAACTCTAGAACTAATAGGTTGAGACTGATTGCTTAAACTTTACACTTTGTAAGCATTGGAAGACTTCACTCACCTTGTTCAAGTGGTTGGTTTTTAGTTGAAGTAGTTTTCATCTTGAGTGCCTCCCTAACAGACATGTCACAGCAGGAGCCTTTGTTAGTGTCTTGGTCACTGTCAGCCTGATCACTGTCCCCGTGCCCACTGTCTCTCAGGCTGGCTCTCTCTGGGTCCTTAAACGTGGAGCTACTGAAATACATATAAAGAAAAAGAAGAGAGAGTGTTGTCTCTACCAGTTTAAATCTGAAGTGTAGTCTCTTGCAAAGCAATTTTGACACGAATGCAAATGAAGAAGCTGAGAAAGTTATTTAATAGGCCTTACCTTTGAACAAACTGCTGCCTGCTGCCCATGTAATTGGGCTCTGCGGGAAAATTGTCTGTCTGTGAAAGAGAAGGAAAAAAATACGTATAGTTGTACACTGGACAAATCTCCTGCAGAGCAACAAGATTTCCTAGTGGAAAAATGATTAATAATTCAAAAATTCCCTTAATCTTCAGATTTGTTCATTTTAATTAAATTGGAAATTGCTGACATGTAATTATGTACTCAGAACAATTAAATGATTCCGGTCCACAAATTACCTGTTAAAGTAAACAATGAGCCTGTCATAACTGGCATTCTCCGTTAGTACCAGGACAGATAACACTGTGTTGCTTCATCATGTAGAGATTAAGATAGAATATTTGTGGGAGGAGTGGGGAAATAACCTAATTTCTCCAAATTAAAAGTGTGAATTATTTAATAATACTCATTTTTAAGCATAATCACATCATCTCCAAGATTCTATGCCTTTCTTGATGGGATATCACTTCAAGTCATCCACTCCCCAATAAAAAGGCAAAAGGTTCTTTCCTTCAAATTTTGTCAGGAATGGATCTAAATGTGTCACATACGGTGTATCTCATCTCTAACTCTTCCTCTCCTACAATCCAATTATGGGAATTCTATACAAACAATCCAATGGAAATGGGTACTACTTCTTGGTTATAATCAAATAAAATAGAAAAAAAAGAAAAAAAATCACTTAAAACATGGAAAGTAAAGATATTAAGAAACCAATCTTCTTTTGTGGTTGTTGTTACTGCTTCCCAACTAGCCTGGAGGTCTGCCAAATAGAACTGAATTCTCCTTGTATCATGGAACAGAGTCTTTTGGGAGAAAGAGACTGGATCTTTCATAGATCTCCCTATACTGTACATTCATACACGTTACTTCTTCTTGCAGCTGACTGGGTGACAATGCTGCTCCTGTTTTCTGCGTCACTTCATATCGCCCCATTATGCTCAGGAGCAGTTAAGGGGTTAGTACAAGACCATCCAACACACAAGTATCCATGACACAGAGGGAAGGCCATCCATGCGCAGAGGGCCCAAGGTAAGGTGTCTTAGGGGGCAATAAGTCCTTTCTTTGCAAATAAGGCTAACTTAACATAAGAGGACTCTTTTTTTTTCTTTCATTTTACTGCAGTCATTCAACTTATTTGGCTTTGTGAATTACTACTGGGAAAATATGTGAAGACAAATTACTTAAAATATTGTATAAGTTTAATTGCCCACATGAAGTTTGGCAACAGGGAAATCCTTCTCCAATTTCTTCTCAGTAAGCTTTTTACTTTTTAAACCAAATAACCTTTCTCAAATGGCATGCAAGAAGAATGTGAACAAGGTAGATTCATTTCTCATGTCTCACCGTCTTTCACTAATAGTTGGCAAGAGGCATTTCTCACTAACAGGTACTAGTTCTTAGATTCTGTGAAGTATCTTAATTTTGGTTTCCATAATGAAAAAAAAAACTCTTTACCTGTAAGAATAACTTTTCCTTCTACTAAAATTATCAGTGTTAACCAATAGAAGTGGCAAAACTGTTTGCAAAGAAATGTTGCCAATTAAAATATGATTTATTACAAACTCTAATACAGTTGGAGTTGATCAAAAACACATGTCCAAGCCCTTATCTCTATCAGTTAAAAGCTAAACCTGAATGTTTTAGAATACTGCAAGAAAACAGAAGGGTATTTTAAACTGTAAAGAGAAACTAGAGGCTTAAATAGAAATATAGGTACTATTATAATTAGTCTAGTGGTTTTATAAAATTGTTTTAATTAAGTAGAATCTCATAGGATATGAATCCCTATCCAGTCAGACAGAGGGAGAAAGACTTGAGAAAGTTCTCTTGTTCTGTGAAGGACAGTCTTTAAAAATGTTTGCATATTCTCAAATATCTGATAAAATATAAACAAGAAAATATACTTCCCAATGAGTGAAAAAGCTAGATTATGTGTATATATGTTCATAAATATGAATGTATCAGGCAATGAGCAATATCAAGCTATAAAATGCAGTTTTAATGATAAAACAAAAAGAAGGAAGAGAATGAGTGATTTAGGAAGAAAAGGAAAAGGGAAAAAAGCAGAGAGAAAAACAAGAGCCAATAGGAAAAGTAGATAGAAACAAAAAGATGAAGGAGAAAGAAACAGGACAAAGGAAAGTGAAAAGAAATGTAGAAGATAAAAGATTTTGTTTATGATCATAGATTCACAATAGATAATTTTAACTTAACATGTTTGTCTATAACAGTATCAGAAGTTTGTAATGATGCCTGGACTCAGAGAATAGAGTGGATAGAAGTGTGAGAGAGTCTGTGTCTACAAAGTTAGCATAATAATATATCCCAATTGAGCCTAAAACAAAATTACAACTAATTCACAACTTTAAAAAAAACATTGGTTAAATATAGAGTATTGTTTTCATTATCAAGGCTTCAAGGGAGTCGGTAAAATCATTTAAAATAAGCTGAATATAAAGTAACATTATTTGCATAAAAACAATAATGTGAATGAAGAAAACTTATGTATCCCAGAATAACTTAATTTAAAAAATGAAATTTAAATTATTTTATAGCACTTTAAAATTTTAGTGTTAGCTTACACAGTTATGATCCTTGAATCTTAAGTGTTGGAGAAAAGTAAAATATGAGATCACACCATTTAACTATTTAGGTCTCAGCAGAATATTTTCATGTATCTATTAATAAGCCTTGAAAGCGTCTTTTTCCAGAAAAACTAATCACTGAGTTGTTTCCTTCTCAATTTAAGCCTGAACACAATGATTTTAAATATTTTATCAAGAGCATATAACTAATCAATATAAATGTGCACCTTAAGTTGATGAGTAGACACACAAATATTTTCAAGCAGATATTTTAAAAAAGCTTTAGTTAAAAAAAATTAGCTGAAGTAAAAACTTTAGCTAAATATGGTCTGAAGGAGGTGACAGTTTCATTGGATGTGACTGTTTCTAGATTATTTGCCATTATTTGTTTCTTTGCTAGTACTCAAGAAAATTATGGTACTTTTATAAATGATATGCAAATCAGAAGTTTTATCAGCAGTAACCAGCAAGAAACTGTTTGAATTGAAAAGATGGCACATGCCTGAAATTCCAGCATTGCAGAGGCTGAGGAAGAAGGGTTGTGAGCTCAGTGTCAGCCTGGGCTACATAGGGAGTTCCAGACCAGACTGTGCTAAAGGGTAGAACACTGCTTCAAAAATGAGTAAGAACTAAGTTAAATAAATAAATATTCCTAAGGTATGCCAAGCATCCTGAAAGGTTAAAGCATTTCAGAAAGGTAAAAGAAATTGGACAATAAAACTGAATCATATTGCCTGAAATCAGAGTCCCTTACTTTTAAAAGAAGATTGATTTTATATGGTTACCCATATGTACCTTAAGAAGTTGGTCAGAAAGGAACATAGCAAAAGAGAGCAAAAATAATTTTTTAATGATTAAAATATTAAAAATAGACACTTAAAATATATCAAGCTTTTGACAGAATTTGATATCTATTAATGATAAAAAAAATCAGCAAAAGAGGAAAGGAAGAAAGTTTCTTTAAAGAGAATCTATACATAAAAAAAAGATCTAGCTTGCATTTTATTTAATGATGAAGTTCTGAGATTTTCCCCTAGGAAAGAGGTCTACTCTTTTCACTTCAATTCATCATTGTACTGAAATGCCTACAATTTTCAAGAATGAAACTGGGCTGGGAAGGTGGCTCATGGTAAAGCGCTTGCCTTGCATGCAGGAGGCCCTGGGTTCAATTCCTCAGCACCACATGAGCAAAAAGAAAAAAGCCGGAAGTGGCACTGTGGCTCAAGTGGTAGAGTGCTAGCCTTGAGCTGAAGAGCTGAGAGACAGCGCCCAGGCCCAGAGTTCAGGCCCCACAACTGGACCAAAAAACAAACAAAAAAAAAACAAAAAATGAATAAGGGCTGGGAAGGTGGCTCAGTTGGTAGAGCACTTGCCTTGCATGCATGAGGCTCTGGGTTCAATTCCTCAGCACCACATAAGCAAAAAAAAAGAAAAATGCCAGAAGTGGCACTGTGGTTCAAGTGGTAGAGTGCTAGCCTTGAGCTAAAGAGCTGAGGGACAGTGCCCAGGCCCAGTTCAGGCCCCATGACCAGACAAAAAAAAAAAAAAAGAATAAATTTTCACACACATTGAAAAGGATAAGGATGTTCATAGGCAATATCATTTTGTTGTCTGTGACTTTTAGAATATATTATTGGTTAAGTGGTAAATAATGAAGAGCATACAAGCAAATATTTCTAGAATTAATAAATGAATTAACCAAGGATTCTTTATTTAAGCATGTCAAACACAAATCAACCCTTTTTCTAAGGATAAGCTATTTGAAACCTAAATTTTAAAATAATATAACAACTCTATAAAAACCAAACAGTGAAAAATGTATATCCAATATCTGTATAGGATCTATATAATGAAATTGAACGTTTCTATAAATCAAAGAGATCTAAATAAGTGGAAAGCTAGTTAGGACTTATGGATCAGAATATTGAACATAGTAAAGATATCAATGTTCCCCTAAATAATCTCAAATGACCTAGTCCACTTTTTTTGGTACATGTAATTCCACCTTAAATTCATAGGGAAATTCAAATGTGCCTTAGCAGCCAAACAACTTTTAAAAAGAAGAATTGACATGAAGAAATGATGCTAGTCTATTTTAAGATTTATATTGAAGCCAGGTGCTGGTGTCTCATGCCTGTAAGCCTAGCTACTCAGGAGGCTGAAATCAGAGGATTGCCTTTCAAAGCCAGCTGGGTTAGGAAAGACCAGGAGACTCTAGTTTCCAATAAACCACCAGAAAACCGGAAGTGGCACTGTCGCTCAAGTGGTAGAGCACTAGCCTTGAGCTGAAGAGCTGAGGGATAGGGTCCAGGCCCAGAGTTCAAGGCCACGACCCCCCAAAAAACAAATAAGCAAACAAAAATAAACAAAATCAAACAAAAAAAACATTTATACTGAAACTACACTAATTAAGACTACACAAAATTGCCAAAGGATGGACACATAATTGA